CATGGCGTCATAGCTCACAGCAACCTCAGACTCTTGGGCTTAAGTGATTCTCTTGCCTCAGCCTCCCAAGTAGCTGGGAATACAGGCGCCCACCACAACACCCAGCTATCTTTTTTTGTTGTTGTTGCAGTTGTCATTGTTGTTTTAGCTGGCCTGGGCCAGGTTTGAACCTGCCAGCCTCGGTGTATGAGGCCAGTGCCCTACCCACTGAGCTATGGGCGCTGCCCTGAGACTCTGTCTTTAAGAAAAAAAAAAAAATGGATACAAAGCCATGGCTCTTAATCATTAAAATCACAAGACTTGGGGGCGGCACCTGTGGCTCAAAGGGTTACGTCACCGGCCCCATATGCTGGAGGCGGCAGGTTTAAACCCAGCCCCAGCCAAAAAAAAACCTGCAAAAAAAAAATAATAATAATAAAATCACAAGACTCCATGCTCTCTTTCTGAGTCTTTGTCCCCCTATTCTTAACTCTGTCCATCCTCTTCTAGTGCTGTGAACCCCTACCCCTAGGCTCTGTCTTTCTCCCTTCTCTAGGACTCTTTCATCCTCTAGTCCCTGTCCCCCTCCATCTAGGTTTGTCCCCTTATTTAGGTTTCGGTACCCATCCCCTCTCTCGTTTCTTGCCATCCTTTGTCTCTGATGTGACTGGACTGATGTGGAACACTGTTAATTGGAAGACACCTTTCCTGCTCACTGAGCTCTGCCATTTTCCCCCTCCAGGAGGGCATCTTGGCTGTTTCACCTGTGGACTTGAACTTACCCTTAGACTGAGATCTTCCTCAGAAGCTGCTACAAGATTGGACCTCAGGTCCATGCCCTCTTCATGTGCTTTTCAAAGTCTTCCTGTTCCACTCAGGGATGTGGGGTTTTTGCCCTACCTGTTTTTGCCAAAAAGTTGTTTCAACCTTTTCATATTAAAAGCTTTTGAAAGTATTTGTTTGTTCTTTCACTCAAGAACTTAAATTCTAAGTAGAAGAGGTTTGGTTCAGAGATATATGTGGTTTATAAATTGAAGAAAGAGGCTCGGCGCCTGTGGCTCAAGTGGCTAAGGCGCCAGCCACATACACCTAAGGTGGCAGGTTCGAATAGCCGGGCGTTGTGGCGGGCGCCTGTGGTCCCAGCTACTTGGGAGGCGAAGGCAGGAGACTTGCTTGAGCCCAGGAGTTGGAGGTTGCTGTGAGCTTTGATGCCACTGGCACTCTACCCAGGGGGACAGCTTGAGGCTCTGTCTCCTAAATAAATAAATAAATAAATAAATAAATAAATTGAAGAAAGAATTCGTTCACTCATTCTAGAGATATTTATTTGGTTGGAGTACCTATAAGAACTTGCCTCCTGGATATGCAAGATATTTGAATACATCTTTACATGCCATCCCAGCAAATTACTTTTTTTCTTTTCTTACACGATTTGGTTATTTCCGCTAATCCTGCATTGGTTATGGAGTCTTTCGGTCTCGTTCCAGAACAAAGTTACAGTCTTCCTTCACTGGCATCTAGGACACCACTCCCTTCTTGGTGTCTCCTCACTGCCCCTTCCAAGCGTTTTTGCTAGTTTCTTTTCATCTACCTGTAGATGAGTACTCTGTCACCGTTATTTATTTATTTTTTTGAGACATAGTCTCACTATGTTGCCCTCAGTAGAGTGGTGTGGCATCACAGCTTATAGCAACCTCAACCTCTTGGGCTTAAACAATTCTCTTACCTCAGCCTCCCAAGTAGCTGGGGGTATCTTTTTATTTATTTATTTTATTTTAAAATAATTATTTATTGGGTGGCACCTGTGGCTCAGTGGATAGGGTGCCAGCCCCATAGACGGAGGGTGGTGGGTTCAAACCCCGCCCCAGCCAAACTGCAACAAAAAAATAGCCAGAAGTGGCTGGCGCCTGTAGTCCCAGCTACTCAGGAGGCTGAGGCAAGAGAATCACCTAAGCCCAGGAGTTGGAGGTTGCTGTGAGCTGTGTGACATCACAGCACTCAACAGAGGGCAATAAAGTTAGACTCTGTCTCCAAAAATAAATAAATAAATATTTTATTTATTTATTTATTAGAGTTAGAGTTAGAGTCTAACTTTTAGACTCTAGACTCTATTTATTAGAGTTAAAGTCTAACTTTTTTTCTTTTCTTACACGATTTGGTTATTTCCGCTAATCAAAAATAAATAAATAAAGTAATTATTTATTTATTTTTTGAGACAGAGTCTTACTTTGTTGCCCTTGGTAGAGTGCTGAGGTTGCTCACAGCAACCTCCAACTCTTGGGCTCAAGCGATTCTCTTGCCTCAGCCTCCGGAGTAGCTAGGACTACAGGCCTGGCCATAACACCTGGCTATTTTTAAGGGTCTTGCCTTTGCTCAGACTGGTCTCTAACCCGTCAGCTCAGGCAATCCACCCACCTTGGACTCCCAGAGTGCTGGGATTACAGGCATGAGTCACCTCGCCTGTCTCTGTAACCTTTTTAGAGCCTTATCTCCCTTTGTAGTGCATAATGCTAGGGTAAGGCTGTGAACCCGGGAGGTGCCAGGTCATCTGGGAAGACTGAAGTCTTAATGAATGAGAAGAGTCTAGGCTGCTGGGTGGGAGGGAGAGGAGGGGTGGGACAGGAGACTGACAGGCTGTGGGAGGAGAAGCCCAATGGTTGGGCCTGATATCTGGGTGGGACTGTACCAACTTGGAAACCCGGGAAGAAAACAGGGTGTCGGGGAAGACTCATAGCCAGAGCTGATGGGCTGTGATGGACCTGAGGGATAGAGTGGAGGGGCAGGCAGAAAACTAATAAAGAAGTTATACTGGACATCTTAAAAGTGTTAAGAGTTTGCCCTCTGAAGCCCTGGGACAAGAGAGTGCGCTCATTCAGGGACAGCAGAGAGGTTTGAACAGAGGACACTGGTTTGAAATAAGTAAGTAGTGGCAGGGTCCACGAAGTCAACCCTTTGCATTCATCTTCATTCAACTAGGAACCCTTTCTATAGATCAAAGAAGGCTTCTTGGAAGAGGTGGCCTCTAAACTGCACCCTGACTGACACGTAGAATTACGCCAGACAAAGAGAGGTGGGCGTTCACGGCAGGGGTAGAGACTTGGCAAAAGTGGTCTGAGAGGGGCTGATGGATTTTAAAAACTTGTAACAGCTGTGTAGTGAGGCCTGGGGATTAAACGCATTGACGTCTGATTCCTATTCTTGACTTGTTTCCGGACCCCAAATGAGCCCTCCCTCTCTCGGAGTCTCTCAACGCTGGTAAATGGGCACAAGGTCCCTTGTTCTTCCAAGGGGAGTCCGGGAGAATACACCGAATGGACGTGGAGCGCTTGTTCCTTTGAGCCAATTGCTGGTGCCTAAAGCCCTGAGTTCCTCCCTATCCGTGGGCCAATTGCAGTGTTCTCTTTGAGGACAGTAACTTGGCGAGGGACGGTCAAAGGCCTGAAGGCTAAACCAATAGAAGCGATTCAAAGGCGGGTCGCTTTGGTGACGGACAGCTCTGTTGCAAGACATCCGCTAAGCGCAGGGCCCGCCGGGAAGCTTTGAGGCGGTGCTGGGGAAAGTGGGCAGGTACTCCTGGTTAACTTTACCCAATCACCAGTCGCACTTTTTGCAATAGACGGGCAGTTGTCCCCATCCCGGTCGACTTGAGGGGGCGGGACCCTGAGCGCTAGCCTGGGCAAACCCCTGACCTCTGATGGGCGTCCCCTTCAACCAATTGGTAGGGAGTACTTTCAGACTGCCGCCGGTATTGCCAATGAGATCGTCTGGCGGGGTCGCGGTAGGCGGGCCGTGGACCCTCTGGTATAAAGCGGTCCCGGGGAGGGGGGAGTGAAGAGAAAGGGGGGGGTCTCGACGGCCGGAGGAGGAATAGGTACGGGTGAAGATGGCGGCAGCCGAGCCCGCGAACTGCATCATGGAGGTGAGTGCCTGGAGCGCCGACGGGGGCAGGGGGCGGCTTGGGAGCCGGTGTTTTATGCCTCCGCCGTGGGGAAAGGACTCTTAAGTCGGTAAGTTGGGGTCGAAGGCCCCAAGCCTCACCGAGGGGCGCCGCACTCACCGGACGCAGGGAAATCGTTTGAGGTGGAGGTTCCCTAGCTTTCGGGGGCCTTCGGCATCCGACCTAGCCGAGGAGTTTTCATTCCCCCTCCCACGTGGAAGAGGGCTGGGGGCGCTTCCGGCCGGGCCCCCACGTGGCCAAGGCTCGGTGGGTGGGGAGGGGGTGTGCCGAGCCGGGTGGCCCGGCGGCCTCCACGTGCGGGACAAAGGCCCCGCCCCCGCCTGGGGGTATGGACGCCTGGGGTGGGAAGAGGGGGTCCTACTCTCTTTCTGAAGCCTCCAGCCCTGCTCCCCGGGGACTGGGACACACACCGGGTGGCATTTCCTTTGGGCCCTCCACGACGTGAAGAGGAGTGACTTGGGAGGGGCAGTGCTTCTCAATCCTTTACATTCCCCTTCCAAGGTCCCGAGGGATCTGCTGGGACATCGGTCTAGGTTTTGTACACTCTGGGTTTGAAACTGGAAGAGGATGAAGAATTGGTCTCCTGCCCCACTTTCCTGTCCTTGAATTCTCCTCACCTCCGCCGGGGGCTTTAAGAGTTGGGGGAGATGGGGTATGCCCCTGTGACCTCCCTTTGGGTGTCGGTGGGTCATCTAGATGGAGGAGATCCTTCCCAGTTAGGCGCCTTGCACCCCCTTGTGGCCATTTTTGTATGTGTGGGAGGGACGTCTTTTTCATGGGGCGTGTCCCAAAGCCCACCTTCCCGTAGGATTCCTCCAGGCCGGTGGAGGAGGGGGCATGTCTGCAGGGAAGGAGTTGTGATGCGATGTGCATAGGCTGTGGCCTTTACTGTCTATCTAGACGTTTGTGAGGAGGAGAGATGAAGTTCTGTGTGGGGATCTTGAGCCTATGAGTCTGAAGTGGATTCCAGTGAGGTTTGGTTCTAGTGGGGAGAGGTTTTAGTCTTGTGTTTCATTCCCTCTTTGGCTGGTTTGTCTGGTGGTAGTATCTATCTTTGGTACTGAGAAATGGGTCCGAGTGGGAAATCCCCTCTCTAGCCTCCCTTATAGGCGTCTCATTGGCATAGGAGAATTGGGGGAGCCCAGTGAGTCATGGCCGGAGACTTGGCCCTTCTTGGAGCCTCGAAAAGTGGTCGCATCTGGAAGAGATGTAATTGGATGGGGCCTCTGCCCTTCCATACCTTACCTTGTAGTATTGTCTGGAAGGGATCAGTTCCCAAGATACATGCACTCCTTTGGCTTTCTCCTACACCAGGGGCTCTATGGGTGGAGAAACACCTTCCCCAGAGGTTGCCTCAGGCTTACCTCCACACGTGGAGGTTTTCAGGACCTGGGATGGGTGGATGAATTGGGGCTTTGGGCTCTAGCTTGCTGGGCCACATCCTGGCACCTTCTCATTATTAAGAGGTCCAGAAACTAGCTGGCCATCCTCCCTGGAACACTACCTTCCTAGGTAGAGGGGTAACAAGTGAGGAGGTTGGTTCCATCTGGTTTTGTTTGGGATGCCTAAGCCCAAGACAGAAGCCAGGGGCTGAGGCACTAGGTCTGGTGTGGGTGCCTATGGGTCACTCTCTTTTCTGAAATCTTCCCATATGAGAGACTAAGTTGCAGAACTGACAGATGTCCTGCTGGCATATCCTGCCAGCCCCTTCCCTCCAGTTATTCATGGCACCCCAGCATGGGTGTGTTTGTTAGGAAGTGTCACCTAATCTGGGGGGATTAGGTGATGAGGAGGAGGGACAGCTGTGCCTGAGTGCCCAGTGGGTGTCAGCCAGTTCCTCTGGCTTGGATGGGGGAGGTGTGTGTGGTCAGCTGCCTGGCCAGAGTAGGGCAGCATGGGGGCGGGCCACCATCTCTCCAGCCACAGCTGGGATAGGAGGCCCCCTTTTCTCCCTGACTTCTCCCTTCCCTTTTAAAGCAGCCCTGCCTCATTACCTG